TTTGACTTTTCTGAGCCTGTCAAGTCCCTCTTCTGACCCATTTTGCCAAAGGAAAGGAAGTTCCCTAATAATTATGCACACCTGATATAGGGTGTTGATGTCATTAGACCACACCCCTTCTCATTACAGAGATGCACATCACCTGATATGCTTAATTGGTAGTGGGCTTTCGAGCCTATACAGCTTGGAGTAAGACAACGTGCATAAAGAGGATGATGTGGTCAAAATACTCATTTGCCTAATAATTCTGCACTCCCTGTACAGACATGTACCATATATAGAATATTTAAGCATTTAAAGCACATTTAAAACAATGTACAAAACAGCTACTGTAGCTCCCAACTCATCCGCTAACATACTCTTATACGTGTATATGTATACATCTGCAGACCTGCATACTTAGCTATCTATTTAATCGACTTCTTATTCATTAGCTCTCCTCCACTCTCCTACCTACCGTACCTAAATTCCTACCTACCTAACTTCAGTATCTTGTCTATTGTGCTTCCCTACGTACAAACTAGCTAGCTAGCCTGCTAGCTAGCAACATAGTTTTTAGCGTTTAAAAAATCTACAATTGTTTTTAATTTTTTTTTGTATATTTGGCAGGTTACTCTGAATGATAGTAATGTTAACATTTAGAATAATATTTTTGAAAAGCATGATCCATCATGCTGCATGCAAAATGTTCCAGTTTTATAATTTATTTTTCATGTCTGAATGGTACGTGGTTAAATCATGTCGAGGATTATCTCAGTCTGAATTTTTAAACAGTTGACGTATTTTGATGAAGTTGCATTTTTTTTTCTGTGAAAGATTAAAAACCTGGTTATGCATTAATGCAGTATATTATTCACCCCTGATAATGCAAGGATGAGAAATTCTCAGAAACAAAGGTATATTATGGCCATGTAGTGCTGACTTTATTTCCTTTGGGCTGAGACTTCGCCAGTTCCCTGTTGGCTGTGTAGGACAGGTGCTCTAGTTTCTTTTTTAGCTGCAGGCTAGGAAAATTCTTTTCAGTCCCTCTAAATTGTTCCAATAAATTATAGCGTTGTCTTAGAGAAAACAATGCCGGGAACTGTAGAACTTTAGATGGTGTATAAAAGGGGGAAAAAATACTGTTTATGATAAGGTATTATAATTTATTTAATAATATTTAAATTATATATTATATTAATATAATATAAATATATAAATTATTATATAAAATAAAATTATATAAGGTTTGAAATTGGTGAGGATGCTGCTACTGCAGATTTATATTTAGCAAAACTTTTAAGCAATAATACAATTTATACTCTTTTATACTTTAACATTTGAATTTTGATTTGATATAGTCTTTAAATTACCTAATTATCATTTTACTTGAGCTGTAAGGAATTAAGTGAACACATCACAAAAAGACTTCATTTTGGGGATGGGTGTCCCCATGAGGGCCTCCCAGCCCCCACAACAAATTTTTCCAAAAAAGCACAAATAAATCAGTATTGCAACTTTCACATTGTTGTGTGAAACTGTTAGTATAGCATAATAAACATGTGGTTCCCAACAATTTTTGACCTCATCTTGACATCACGAATTTCTGATGACCCCAGAGACACATTAGAAGCTGTGATTACAGACGTCAGTCAAGAACTGGATTTATATTCATGAAAGTGAAACAACACAGTTGTCTAAGATTTTGTATGGTGTCTTAATCATAATTTTTAAAAGAATAATAATTAAAAATGTTTTATCAGTAATTATTTTTAATCAATTACTAGACATTTCAGCTGACCTCGTTTGAATTCCAGGTGAGCCCACATGGGTTCACAACCCCAGTGTTTAAAAACACTGGTTTATTTTGTGTTTTAAGGAAATTGGTGAATAAAAGGATGTTGACTGAGGTTTTATTATTGTCCTATGGAAAATTTGTTAAATAATTTGGACTTCAGAATGAGTCCCTGTACATAGTCAGCAGGGGGCAGAAGGTAACTGTTCGGTCTTTGAGTTCCTGCCTCTGCGCCAATCCACCACTGACTAACAGCTGATCACAGCATGACTTTATGACTGTGTGACTGAAGCAGCTTAGACAGGTATAACATTGAAGTATCTTTTACATTAAAGACTAAATTAAATGCATCGTAACCATGGCTTCTTACACTTAGGGATATGCACATGTTTACCAGACAAAGAGTCGGTGATACACACACTCTGCAGTGTTTTTTGTTTTTGTGAGTGCGTGCTATCAGTGCAGCTGTGGAGAAGCAGTGATGAGTCTGAGAGCTCATAAATCTTCCTCTGCTCACAGCAGTACTGGCACACTGAGCCGGTGACTTGTCTTCATAGAGAATCCAGGTCTCCAAATGAACTTGTCTTAACTGTGTGTGTGTGTGTGTGTGTGTGTGTGCAGAGTAGTGAACATTATCTTATGATTGTGTAAGAGTAGACATACTTCTTAATGTAAGTTTTTTTTTTTTACTTTTTGGTTTGTCCAATTTGTTGTCTGTATCTCTTTAAGAACTGTACATCTTGGCTTCTAACTATGGAAAAAGTTCAGGTGTAGAATGCATTAAATAGCTTGCAGAGTTCTAACATTCTGATTGGAGATTCTTGCTAAGGTTCCTTACAGTACCTTAGCAAGGAGTTTTTTTTTTTAATTTTCTTTATTTTTTTTATTGGGTTCTATCTTTGTGCTGACCTTGGTGAATATACTTCACCATCAGTCTCTCTCACCCACTCTGGTCTCAGCCTCTGAAAGAAAGAAAACTAACATTAAAGATGGGAAGAGGGAGAGCTCTTCCCATCTTTAATGTTAGTTTTCTTTCCGTGTCAGAGACTAAGCAAACAGAGTTGTGTGTGAACCGCCTCATAACTCCATGTTGCTGAGAGACCGGGAACTCTCAGAAGAGCACAGCTGTGTCTTCATTTGTCCGTCATGTTCAGCATTCCATTTTATCTTAAAATCGTAATTAACACGTACACATCCAGGTGTTCCTCCCGTCCATCTAGTCCCTCTTGATCTTGTCTCCATCTTGCAGG